GCCAGCCTGTGACTTCTCAGAGCCAGGGTCACCATCCTCTCCCCATGGATAAGACCACTAGGCAGGTAGCTCCCCTAATTCAAGCACTGAGCCTCCTCCAAGCTGCCAAGGTGCCAGGACCCACGGGCACCATCCTCTTCGCAGCTGTCTGACTGCCGCCATCACAGGCTCCCTCCTGAGCTACTAAGGTAGCAGCCTTCAGAGCCCTGAAGCTCCTCTTGAGGCTCCCGAGCAACCAGAAGCAGCCCAGACGGCACCCCCGCCTCAGTCTCAGTTCTGTGAGCCCCTCCACTAAACTCTAGGCTTTCACATGCCCCCAGCCCCAGAGGGACAACTGCATCCTGCAGTCATTACAGCTGGGTATTTGCGTTTTGCTTTTTTCAATCTTCCTGTTTAACCAATCCTCTCTATTCAATTATCTTGTGAAATACCCTAGTGAATTTTCTGTTTTCTTGACTATATACCCTGACATAGAAGTAGCAATGAGAGAATGCATGAAAAAATAGGTGACATTGGTGGCCCAAAGGAGTTGGAATGAGGAACACTAACGCTGAAAGCTCAAGACTATTATTCTGGATCTGATAAGAAAATGAGGAAAGGAATCTATCATTTACTTTCAATGCAACCATCTTTGGTTTTCAAAGGGCTGTCTTGTGGTAGAAAACTTATAATACTACAAGGTACCAAGAGGGTAGAATTAAGCAGCTCCGAACATGGCAGCATGACAAAATAGAACTTCATTCTCCATGAGAAAGAACTTTCTAACAGTCAGCCAAATTCTTGGCTGGGATGGTCAGTGGATAGAGATATTGTAGAGAAGATTCAGTTTAAGATTCTCAAAACCCTAAGATTCAATGCTACTAGCAATGATTGGAAATAAATAGAAACGTAAAGGAGGGCTGTGTATTGCAACATCCTGTAAGCTAGATTTAATCTTACAGTCCAGAAGCAACCAGAGACCAAACTGATTGCCTGTAGGATCATATTGATTACCCAGATATTGATCTCTAAAGTGCCTGGAAAAAAGATGCAAGGGATAATTGACTAATGTAGTGGCCTCCTGTCAGTTATATCAAAGGCGATGTGAAAAGTGAGGTATTATTTTTAAGAATTAAATAATGCAGGGCAGAAGGCATCCATTGTTTTCCTCTCAGTCACTCCATCATAGATGAGTTCCATTGTGGGGTGGTGGGGGATGGGGGGTGGGATGGAGCGGTGAACTACCTAATGTGCAATATAAAAAACTCTGGAAACTGGAAGCACAACTCTTTTTTAAAAAATTCTTCTGATATTCTCATCTAATGCTTCTCTGTGGTCTCCTTGCTCAATATGGCATTTAGGTAAACCTGCAGTTAAAATGTCCAAAGACGGCCAAAGGGGACCTAATCTCCAATCAAAGTTATAACAGAACAGAGAAATGAAAACGAAAACACAGAGCTCTTAGAATCAGCAGGGGTTTCTGTATGCTGTCCCTTTCTTTCTTCTCACTCCACTGTAAGTTTTCCCTCCAAATACATGCATTTATACTCTATTCCAGTGTTCTGAATCTGAATTTTCAAGTGCTATGGTACACGTTTGGCTGGCCCTTTCCTCTTACAAGATTCTCAAGAGTATTCAAGGCATAAGAAATTCCCAAGAAACAGTAACCCTCTGCAGCAAAAGTTATTAGTTATAAAAGCCCCATAACATATATGTTTAGTGTTTTGAAGGCTATCTGAATTTCAGATAATTGTCTCTCAGTAAGCTTTCTGAATGTCCATAATCAACATGGATATAAGGGAAAGGAAGAGAATACGTCTCACCTTTCCGTTCTGTCTTTCTCTCATCCCCTTAAAGCAATTTCCTAAAAGCAATTCAGAATACATGCCCACAATGGGACTTTTATTTGATTTCGAGAAACGTTTCTGCTTCCTAAAAAAACTCTTGGGAAGTTTCAGTTTCCACATAGTCAGAAACCAATGGAAGAAAAGAAAACCAAATGCCATGCAAAAGAGCTAAAATTTAACTAAACCCCAGAGCCTAAGGAAAAAGCTCTGTGGCATTTTATCCATATTCTCCATCCAATAAATATTTACAAACGTAAATATAATAAGACCCATCCCAAGAACCAGCATTATAATGGCATTTCTGAACAGCTGCTTCTTAACGTATTATGTGTTACAAAGAGGTCTCACAGCTTGTTTGCATCCTTTAGGAAACAAATTCGTCTACATCTTTGTAATTACACTTACATGTGACAGGCTCTTCACAGTTTAGTTCTGTTTTGTTTTAACATGTATAAACACAATGGGCTTCGGGTTTGGCTTTCTCTTAAGTTTGCTCAGAGAGCACCAAATTCTGCTATTGGAAACCTGCAGTCAAGAAGTCAGGTCTGCACACCTAAACAGGAGCATAACTAAATGCAAAATGAGGGAATTTAATCACCACCTTCACATATTTGTTAAGAAAATTTAAGCCGCTATTTCTTCACTCTACATCTCTTCATTTAAGCAAAAATGGAGTCCTGTGTGATTACCCTGTGAATTCAAAGACAACCTAAAACTGACCATCTGGAAGGCAATTACTGCTTTCCCTAAAAGTTCTTGCTAACACCTTAGGGCAATGTGGCCACTCCAGAGACACATATGTCCCTGCATCTAGAGCTGATAACCGACAGGGATGCAAAAACAATCCCTGAGGTTCTTAATTTCACAGAGATGTGGCAAAAAATAATTATGTAGATAAGCTTATTACCACTAATAAATTGCAAACAACAATATTATTCTATCCTCATAATAATGCTGAATTAAGGTACAGAAAGAGTAAGTGATCTTCCAAACATTACACATCTTGCAAGTGGCAAGGCTGAGATGTGGACTCGAATCTGATTCCCAATGTTAGGTTCTTTCTAGGATTCCACTACATATGAAGACAATCCTTGGCTCTGATTCTGCAGAATGGAATTAACTTTCTCTTCACCTTTCTCATTCTTTAAGACTCAGTTCAAGTCCTACCTCCCACAATAAATCTTAATTATACTCAATCAGTATTCTTTCCATCCTCTGAAATCTATAACATGTATTACTTACCTGAGGATAGTTATCTTGTCAGAGGCATATTGTCACCTCCCCAACCAGGTATTACATTACTTTATAGCTTCTAAAATGCCTAGCTCAGTGATAAAGACAGTAAAAACTCCAAAATGCTTGCTGATTGGATAATTAATTAGTTGAAGGTTTTATCCAAAACCATTTTAAATACTCCCTCTAATCTTCAGTTGTTTTTTTTTAAGGCAGAGGATCTGGACTTTTTTATTTTACCACTTTGGTATTCCAATTTACCAGTCCTGTGCCCAAGATTCTACCTTGGTTTGCACATGTAGACTTAGCCCAGGGATGATATTCAAAATCTTTAAAATCATTATGTTGGGGTATTGACCAACCAGAATGGAGCAGGGTACCAGAGGCTACTTAGTGTGTCAGGCATTAACCCTTTAGTTGATGAGCTGCAGGCAAAGCTCAGGGATGTAAGTGGCCTTGATGACACATAGGTACTAATAGGGTAAAGGCTCAGGGCAAGGTCTCTCTACCAACAGGAATGGAAGTACTTCAATAGTTTTCAATAGTTTGACAGGTATGAACAGAATGGCACAAACTAATCATTACCAGCCTTGCCCTGGCCCCCAAATCTTCAAAAGTACTAATTGCCAAAAGGGGAAATAAGCAGCAATCAGGCAAGGTCTATAGAGAATTAAGTCCTTGCTCTTCTATGTGGAAGTTTTTTTAAAAAAAGAAATAGAAGAATTCACCATCCTTTCTCCAGCCTTTCGTAGCCAGAATTTACATGTACTTCAGAATTAACTGAACAAGAAACTAGCAGGAATTTGTTTCTAAACTGCAGCCTGAAGTAATTTATTTCAGGATTACCCAATGGCACTTAGTTTTTGAATATTAATATTTGTCATCCCTTACGCTTTCACTGACCCTGCTACCGTTATTATGAATAATTATTATTTATACTCCACCTTGTTCCAAGAAAAATACTTAAGAAAATCTTTAAAAAGATACAATGCATCAAGATAAAATATATTTACTTTAAGTGGGATGAATTGGATAAGTAAAAGTCAAGGAAGAAAATAAAGAATTAGGAGTGCTGTTTATATTCAAACTACTTGCTCTAAAGTCTGATACATTTGCAAAAAGTGCACTACGAATTTGGGCGCTAATCTTTCTGGTAGATAAAACGCAGAAGGAAACATCAGTTTTAAAGCACACAGATTCCTTTGAGATAAAAACAAACCAATTGCTCAGAGAAAGGCACTGATTCATTTTCCTAAGACTGCTATCAACAATGAAGGTATCTGCTTAAAATGGAACTCTTGTTACACAGCTGTTTTCTTTAATCAAAAACTTCTTGTAAAACTCTAGTAACAAACAAAAAGATTAACTTTTGCAGGTTTCCTACTAAAACTGAACTTAGTTTCTTCAAGCCTCTCTTTTCCCAATAAAGTTCCAAGAATGATCCAAATTCTTATTGGTAAATAGGCAGTCTGACAACTTTGAGTATCGGGCTAAGCAGTCCTGAGCAAAACAATCATATTAGAAGGGTTTGTTCCCCCTAAGCTGTCAAAACCTGAATGGAGTAGGCATGGATTTATAGAACATGTTTTTGGCCCCTGGATCTCCTAAGAGAAGAAGTAGTCAAAATGTCAAGGACAAGATCAGACTTGGTAAACACGCCTCAGTATTGCCAACCTCAAACCTGGAATCCCATTTTGAGCAAGTACTGGTAGGCCTGTTTAATTTGAAATTCAATTTATGTAGCTCTTAATTTCAAGCAACTCCAGTATGAAAGTGAGGCTTTTATAGTATACGTTTGGGATATGTCCCTTTCTGTTTCTGGAGAAGAGACGCGTTTTAGAACTTTTATGATAGATGGATGTAATTGGCTTTAGTGATTCAGAAGCAGCATTAATTTCTGAGGCATTTAAGGAAAATACATATTAAAAAGCAAAGACTCACTCTCTCCTGCTACATCCCAAGGGGCCTCTCAGAGGAAACTGGAAGGTGTGATTTCTTTTCTTGTCCAATATACTGAATCAGGTAACTATAAAGAGCAAGAATGGGGCAGGGTTAGAAAAGACATGGGCTTATGCATCACCATGATCACAACCTCCCCAAGAACTCAGCGTTCAGGAATCAAAAGTCCAATGACTGGCATTACAATGCCTGGGAGGCATGCAATTAATATGACTCAATGATGGTCAGAATAACAGTGCAAACACGAGTCATTTTGATGATTCTGCTATTGACCTCTGCGGCTTGGTGGATTTTTACGTAACTTTCACAACACATGATAAGGCTGAATGAGGTATATTTTCAACTTTCTGTAAAATTCAGAATGTACAATTAGTAATACTTTGCTTATTTTAATTGTTCTGAAACTGTAGAGGACTTTAGGAACTATAAAAAATTATTTGGTTTAATGAACTCAGTTTTCAACTTATCTCAGTCACTGATCTTATTTCCCTTAATAAGGGCATGAACAAAACTCTCCTGGCTCATTAATCCTGAAATCAGAAGTCGACTCCAAAGGGAAAAGTACTTAGCATACTTAAAATGTTGAACACTTTTACAGCTCTTTCTCATACAAAATCTTATTGAAATCTATCTTGTGAAAAAGGTTTTTTTTAGCTTTGAGAGTTTTTTCCCTTAATACAGGTGCCCTCAGTGGGCACATAATGGACTCCTTAATAAGTAATGGAAGGAAGGAAGGAAGGAAGGAAGGAAGGAAGGAAGGAAGGAAGGAAGGAAGGAAGGAAGGAAAGGAGGGAGGATGGAAGGAAGGAAAGGCGGGAGGAAGGAAGGAAGGAAGGAAGAAAAAGGTTCATTTTGTATATGAGAAAATTCAGAGGACTTAGTGATTTGTCCAGATATATTGGGCTAGTGGAATTCAAGCTTTAAACCCCCAATCTTAAAATCCATCATTCTTTATTACTCAGTACTGCTTTTGCTCTGCCTAGAAAATCAAATAAGATATTGCAATTTATAGAAAATCACAGTATCATGTTATCTCCAAAAGTTGTTCACTGCTAACATTTGATTTCAAGTCTTCACCAGTCTCTTATTCTGATTATTAATTCTAAATTCAACTCACTGTAATAAAATCTTAACTCTAGCTGCAAACATATTCCCAAATTAGACCTATATAGTCAAATGTCACTAGCAGCTTTAAGGCATGACTTTGGTATTTAATTTTTTATGCTAATTCTTAATTTGGTTCCAAGGCTTTGGGCAGAAGTTTCTCATTTCCAACTCATAGCAGAGGGGCATGCTTCCTTACTTTTTTAGTGTTGCCAGTTTCTCCATGTCACTCAATTTAGCTCCTAAACAAATAACTGAATTTTTCATTTAAACCTTTGAGAAACATCACAGTAAAAATAAAAATACATAGAGGTGTAAGACAAACATGGAAGGTAATGTGGTTTCCTCAGGCTTAAACAGAACAATAAATATGTGATCATATTATTTGTTTCATACTGTTGTTGACTGCACAATTCCACTGCTATGGACTGAATTATATCCCCTCAAAAATTGTATGTTGAAGCCCTAATCCCAAGGTGATGGTATTTGGAGACAGAGCCTCTGGGAGGCAATTAGAGTTAGATGAAGTCATTGCGGTGGGGCCCTCATGGTGGAATTAGTGGCTTTATAAGGAAAAGAAGAGAAAGATTGTTCTCTCTCCATCATATAAGGACATGGCGAGAAGGCTGCCATCAGTAAACCAGGAACAGAGCTTTCACCAGGAACTGAACTGGCCTGGATCTTGATCTTGGACTTTTCAGTGTCCAAAATCATGAGAAAACAGATTTCTCTTGTTTAAGCAACCCCGTCTTTGACATTTTTGTATAGAAGCCCAAGGAGACTAATGCACACAGCAATAATTTTACTTTAAAAAATCTGAATTATACTCAGTCTATAATTAATAAGATGATTAAGACTGAGTATCAGGGCTTCTAACATTTAGCAAATGTTCCCTGGTCATTTTCATTATTAATCTTTACCAGCATCAAAAGCGACATGTCAATATTCTCACCTCCTTTTTATGAAGAACCTTGATGCAGGCAGGGCTATTAAGTAGCATGATAGTTTGCCAAATCAGCCATTGAACCAACCACAGAGACCAGACTTCAACTTGAGGATCGAAGTTTGTTTCCTTAGGCCTACTCAAACTCATCTTTATGAGTCACATGTTTCTGGAAAGGGCATTCAATGCTAAGGAATCAGTGGTATAAATTAAATAGCCCCCCTCTCCCTGACCATCTTCTATCAAAGTTCTTGTAACAGAGTAATATTTTTACATCTCAAACTCTCTCTCCTGGGCCCAGACCATGTCTTTTTGTCTTTGTTTTCCTTCTTAGCTCCTGGCATGGAGCCTTGCACAAAAGGAACCTTCATAATTGTTCGGTGAATGAATAAAAAACTTAATAAAAAGGCTGAACTAACATATAAATGTAACAGGATAAAGTGATTAAGAGTGCAGGCTTTGGAGTCAGGCAACATAGATTCAAATCCCAGTTATGTAATGTCCTAGATGGGTGCCTGCAACCTGACTAAAATTCAGGTGAATATTATACAGTATCTCACTCAAGTGAGGATGAAACAAGGTAATGCATATAAAGGACTTATTGTGATATCTGACATAACTTCCATGAGTTCACCCACCTCTGTAACTTTGTAGCCTCACAACATTTTTTTATCTCTTATCTTTTCTCTTAGCCTTAGTTCCCAGTGGTGAAAAAAAAGGAAACATAAGGTATACCTTCGAGAGTTGTTAAGAAAATTCAATCAGAAAATACAGTGAGTTTGAAAGCATAATACAATGATTATTATTACTATTTCACTGTCCAGAAAAGTTATCTCTTTGGAAAGTAGTTATGATAAAGTAGGACCAGCATCAAACTAGGATATGAGAACCAGATTCCAATGTTGGTTCTACCCTCATAAACCTAGGCGAGGCATTAAGTTCCCTGGACCTCAGTTATTCTTTGTATAAAATCAGATGGTAGTCTAGATAATTTCTCAAATCCATTCTACCTCTAAAATTGTATAAACCTAAATCACTGTCACTTATAGGTCTGAATTTTTATGATTTGCCTCATAATACAGCTATGAAACATCACCATGATGAGTAGTCAACAGATATTCTAGAGATGGACAAGCTGAAATGCTGTGTGACCAGTCCCCAGTCCAGCCAAGGTCAGTGGCAAAGGACACAGATTCAGAAAAAGAGATGCTTATGCCCAGTTCATGATTTTCCCACTGAGTTTCAACTGATTCTATATTTAAAATTCTCTTAGTTAAACAAGTTATGGTACCTGTATAGGAATATATTCGTTCAAATGATGTGGTAGAAATTTTAATAAGGTAAAAAGATATTGATGAAAAATTAAGTTACAAAATGAATATATTATATATTCAATATACGCACACACACACACACACACACACACAGGAGATTAGGAATACTGACAATCCCTGAGGATGAAAGACATGAAGACTCCTCTGGGTAGGGATATGGTAAGGAGTGGAAAGTACATTAAAAAGCTCTGAGGATCAGGCCAAATGATTAAGTTAAGCATCTCTCTGCTAGTGCACACTTCCCCAGTACTTCAGCTTTTGTGCCTTGTCTGGAACCTATAAATGTGGATGTTATTGCTTGCTCACCAGTTTTTTTAGAAAATTAAATGAGGAAAAAAAAGTATATTAAAGCCTCTCACCTGTCCACACAAGGTGTTGGAGAAGTGTCAGTTCTCTTCCACTCCTGGTGAGAGGCTCTGCTTAGTAAGGGCAAGAAAAATGCAATCCTGTTTTGTTTCTCCATAATTTCATTCCATTTCTCAAAATGGCCTCCTAAAGAAACTTTCCTAAATAAACCCATTCCTTTGTTGATTTTATTGTGAGTGTCCTTCTGTTTTTTTAAGGTTGAGAAACAATAGTTTATCGTTTCATTGCTAGATTTATTCATTTTGGCTTAATTCTTGTCTGGACATATTTGGGTAGAAAGATTGTATGAGGTACAGAAACAAAGCACTATTTTTTTTTTTTTTGCTGTGCCTGCAACAGAGTTACATAATATATTGATTTTTATAACCTACTCTTTCATCAATATCTCTTTATGTCCTTAAGTATATTTCTGAGTCCACTGATACCCACTCTTTATTGATGAAATTTCTTCATTTCTGACACCCCTGCCCATTCACACACTTATTCCTCAGTCCTTCCATGCTTTTTTTTTCTTTTTTAACTAATCACTTATTAACAAAAATAAAGGGGATGTTCCAGGAATAGAGTAAATTTTAGAGCTTCACAAATTGAAACTGACTTAATGAGTTACAATAATACTGTTGTACATACAAATATGAGAAGCCTTTTTGTTAATCGCACTGTCTTAATTATTTTACTTAACTAGGGTATTATATTCCTGTTTCATTCCTAGGAAACTACTATTCCTTCTATAAAGGTACAGCCAGTCACTTCTGATGACCTCACTACTACACTCTCCATTTCATTTTCCAACTTGAGCTTATGTGGGTATTACAATAATAAAATACCTGAAACAGCTAAATCAGATGCAACTGCAACTTTTGTATTCCCTAAGATATCAAGACTTGGACTTCGCTAACATCTGGCTCTCTTAAATAGTATGTATCAAACCACAACCAACAAATTAGCTTAAAAGATAATCACTGGCACTATCTTAGATGAGGGAAGTACAGAGGAATGTGGGGAGGAGGAGCAAGGATTTGAGAGATTTGTTTACTACTGTAAAATCCTGTCAGTTCCCCACAATACCTACATGTCTAGCATATTATGCCAAGCCTTATTCTCATTCAAAGAAATACAAATTAAGATAATTATAAGAAAGTCATTTTGAAGAACTGTCTTCAAAGCTTGTTCAACATGGGGATTTTCAGATCCTGTCTCAAGTGGCACTTTGAGCAGATCTGCAAGAAAGCTAGGTTTCTGAAATTTTTAACAAGCATCCCAAGTGATTCTGATGCAGAAGTTTCATGCCCCATGTTTTGAGAAAAACTGCTTAGTAGT